ACCTACTAGCGATGGCCTCCAACCCAATAGCGATGGCCTCCAACCTATTACCGATGGCCTCCAACCTACTAGCGATGGCCTCCAACCTATTAATTACCGATGGCCTCCAACCCAATAGCGATGGCCTCCAACCTACTAGCGATGGCATCCAACCTATTACCGAATGTCTCCAACCTACTAGCGATGGCCTCCAACCTACTAGCGATGGCCGCCTCCAACCTACTAGGGATGGCCTCCAACCTATTAGCGATGGCCTACAGCCTACTAGCGATGGTCCCCAACCTACTAGCGATGGCCTCCAACCTACTAGCAATGGGAGCCAACCTACTAGCGATGGCCTCCAACCTACTAGCAATGGCCTCCAACCCAATAGCAAACTGTATTTCTCACTGTCAACACGTTTATGCTTTCAACGGTTGAAGAAGTTCCTTTTGAGTTGTCCTTTCTGTAGGATCCGGAGAAAGAACTGGATGACTCCTGGTTGGAAGAGGCCAGGGATGGCAACTGATCGGAGGGAAGGCTTTACTGTTTGCTTTTAGAGTAAGGCCAGGAGCCCCTAATAGCGTCCTTGTTACTAGTAGTAAGGCCAGGAGCCCCTAGTAGCTTCTTTGTTTCCTGTATGGTTCTGAATCAGTTTGACATTTTGACTGCAATACAATTGTTTGTGCAAACGCAGTGTGCATGGATAAAGGCATACCTTCTGTGACAGCGTTCTTTTGCAAAGAAAAGAAAAGCCCACAAGAACCATTCAAGCATTCATTCAAGTCTGAGCACACTGTGTTCTCTCTCTTATTTCCTTGTCTCGTTTGTTCTTCAATTTGCGGTGTCTTTCCAGGAGCTGCTCAGCTTCTGTGTGGAGCCCATTGATGAGCAGCAAGCGCTGATGAGTCCAGGGGCCTAGCGCTGTTGATTTCTGTGCTCCAAGTGCTTTGTGTCCTTTGGGCACTGACAATGTCGACATGGAGCGAAGGTCTTGCAGAACTTCCTTTCGTCTCTGTAAATCAGGTCGTATCACTCTCACTCCCTAAAAGTGCTCGCACTCCCGTGTCTGGGTCTTGCCGACGTTTTCAAACGACTGACATTTGTGTTGGTTGCTTTCTCGTTCAACTGGGCAGCTTGTGAAAACACATGGGATCCAGTACCAAAAATTTCCCAATGACAAGTTCCATGCCATGCCAATGTCAGATGCTCTGCTAGTCATATGAACACTTCGTTTGATCAATGATTAGTGTTCCTGACAAAAGACTCACACGTTCGTCAAATTTGATGCATTTGCTGTTCACATGTGCTTTTCCGACGAGTAGTACAGATCATGCTGGTCCATGCTTCCAAGGATCGTAAATACTCATGACACACCTGTTGAATATTTTTGAGTAGGTTGGAGGCCATCGCTATTAGGTTGGAGGCCATCGCTGTTAGGCTGGAGATTGCTATTGGGTTGGAGGCCATCGCATGCTACTAGTCTGGAGGCCATTGCTATTAGGCTGGAGGCCATCGCTATTGGGCTGGAGGCCATTGCTATCAGGCTGGAAGCCATGAGCCCATCGCTAGAAGGCTGGAGGCCATTGCTATTGGGCTGGAGGCCATCGCTTTTGGGCTGGAGGCCGTTGCTATTAGGCTAGAGGCCATTGCTATTTGGCTGCCATTGCTATTAGGCTGGAGGGCATTGCCATTAGGCTGGAGTTCATTGCCATTAGGCTGGAGGCCATTGCTATTGGGATGGCTGGCCATTGCTATCAGGCTGGAGGCCAGTGCTATTAGGCTGGAGGCCATTGCTATTTGGCTGGGAGGCCATTGCTATTAGGCTGGGGCGCCATTGCTATTGGGCAGGAGGCCATTGCTATCAGGCTGGAGGCCATTGCTATTAGGCAAGAGGCCATTGCTACTGTCTGGAGGCCATTGCTATTTGGCTGGAGGCCATTGCTATTAGGCTGGAGGCCATTGCTATTAGGCTGGAGGCCATTGCTATTAGTCTGGAGGCTATTGATCTGGAGGCCATTGCTATTAGGCTGGCTGGCCATTGCTATTAGGCTGGAGGCTTGCTATTGGTCTGGAGGTCATTGCTATCAGGCCGGAGGCTATTGCTATTGGTCTGGATGCTATTAGGCTGGAGGCCATTGCTACTAGGCTGGACGCCATTGCTATTGGGCTGGAGGCCATCGCTATTAGGTTGGAGGCCATTGCTATTAGGCTGGGAGGCCATCGCTATTAGTCTCGAGGCCTTTGCTATTAGTCTGGAGGCCATTGCTATTGGAGGCCATTGCTATTAGGCTGGAAGGCCATTGCTAGTAGTCTGGAGGCCATTGCTATTCGGCTGGAGGCCATTGCTATTAGGCTGGAGGCCATTGCTATTAGGCTGGAGGCCATTGCTATTAGGCTGGAGGCCATTGCTATTAGGCTGGAGGCCCTTGCTAGTAGTCTGGAGGCCATTGCTATTCGGCTGGAGGCCATTGCTATTAGGCTGGAGGCCATTGCTATTAGGCTGGAGGCCGTTGCTATTCGGCTGGAGGCCATTGCTATTGGGCTGGCTGGCCATTGCTATTGGGCTGGCTGGCCATTGCTATTAGTCCGGAGGCCATTGCTATTAGGCTGGAGGCCATTGCTATTAGGCTGGAGGCCATTGC